AGCGCACCACACTAAATGGAACAGAGCGACGACATTTGCGTTATAGGGTTTAATTCACTATACGATATAGGGGTATTTTTTTGTACGGGCCTTAAAATCTTGTATAGGCTTGAGCTAGAGTTAGTATAAATAATAATATTGTAACCCTATTATTCATACTAAATAAAATTATCTCCATTTCGCTCTTGTAGGCGTAAGCACATCGTCGAACCACGTAAATACCTGTTGATTTCTCTATTTTATCTCTTTATTATTGCGTATAAAATCCAACAATTGATATCAGAGACAAGTTCAGATAGCGAGTTCTTCGATTGCAAAATTCGATGTCATCAAGTTTAACGGATCTAGGAATTTTGAATTATGGCAACGAAGGGTAAAAGATTTGTTAGCGCAGCAAGGGATGGTAAAGGCACTATATGGGAAGAAACCAAGGAGGGTATGTCAGGTGCCGATTGGGAAGAGCTCGAGGCACAAAAAGTTGGTACAATTCAGCTTTGCTTGGCAGACAAGATCATGTATCACTTAATGGACATTGAGTTTTCAGGGGAGGTTCGACAAAAAATGGAGAGTCATTATATGTCGAAGTCTCTCACAAACAAGCTGCATCTGAAGCAGCGGTTGTATAGGCTCAAGATGTTGGAGGGTACGGATCTGATTCAACATACAAATGTGTTCGATCAAATTATCAGCGATTTGTTGCGACTTGAAATCAAGTTCGATGATGAAGAAAATGCAATGATATTGTTGTGCTTCGTTTCTCCTTCATATGACCACCTGGTGACCACGTTGACATGGGGCAAAGAGACTCGAATTGGAGGAAGTCACATCAGCACTACTGGCCTACAACCAGCGAAAACTGCATACTGGGGAAAGTTCACAAGGTAAAAAGTTGATCGTAACGTGGGAAAAAGAAGGACAAGGGTGACTCTTACAAAGGGAACACGAGATCAAAATCTAGAAATCAATATAAGCAAAACATCAAGTGCTACAAATGGCATCAGATGGGCCACTTTAAGAAAGACTGTCCAAATAAAAAGCAAGGTGATGAAAAGAAAGGCGATAAGTCATCAAACTCAACTAATGTTGCAGAAAGAGACTTAGATTCTAGAGATGGAGACATGCTATCAATCTCCGCATTTAATTTTGACAGATTACATTACTGTTGGGTACTTGATATAGCCTGGTCAAATCACGTGTCCTCATCGGGATTGGTTTAATTCATATCGTCTCGGTAATTTTGGATCTGTTCCGATAGGTAATGTATTGATGCATAATGTAAGGTCATTGGAAAGGGTCCATAAAATTTAAAATGTTCGATGGTGTGGTAAGAACCTTTGAGGATGTTAGCCATGTACCAGAGTTGAGAAAGAACCTAATTCCTTTAGGTACTTTAAACACAAATGATTATTTTATAAGTCAAAGTGTAGGGCCTTCACAATGAAGAAAGGGGACATGATTGGGATAAAGGGTCAGAAATTGGTAAGGAATATCTACAAACTACTCGGAATACAGTTGTAGGTGGAGTTACTACAGCATAATATGAGTCATATAACGCTCTTCTATAAGATATGCGACTGGGGCATATAGGAGAACGTGGTATGATTGAGCTTTATAAGAGAAATTTGTTGAAGGGATAAAATCATTCAAGTTGGATTTCTGCAAGTTCTGCATGCTTGAAAAATAGTTCAGAATACAGTTCAAGATGGGAAAGCACAAGACGGAGGGCATTCTTGATTACGTGCACTCAGATGTTTGGGAACCAGTGAGGGAGTTGTCCAAAAGTGGATCTCAGTATTTTATTACTTTCATTGATGACTTCCCAGCAAAGTTTGGGTATATTTCAAGAAGCATAAGTCTGAAGCCTTCACCAAGTTCGGACTGTGAAAATCAGAAATAGAGAACTAGGCAAAAAAATTATCTCAGGACAAACAATGGTACAGAGTACACGGATTCACAATTTTTGAAATTTTATGAGGAGCATAGTATTCAGCGGCACTATACAGCTCGCAAGACACCGCAATATAATGATGTAGAGAAGAGGATGAAGAGAATTACTGCAGAATTGGCAAGATATTTGAAGCTAAATGCAAGGCTTTCGAAGAGTTTTTGGGCAGAAGCGGTGCACATGGCATATTATATCATAAACAGATCACCACAAGTAGCATTAGATGAGAAAGTTGCATAGGAAGTTCAGACAAGTAATAAAGTTGATTATTTTGAATTGATAGTATTTGGGTGTCCAACATATGTGCATGTATCTAGTGATCAGAGATCTAAACTTGATCCAAAATCAAGAAAGTGCATTTTTTTTAGCTATGTGAAAGGTGTAAAAGTTACAAGTTTTGGGATCCAGATGCAAGGAAGATGGTGATAAGTAGGGATGCAATCTTTGATGAAGCATTCATACTTAAAGCTTCTCCAGATGAAGAAAACCTCAGTTCAGACGAGTGCAACAACAGCAAGAGCCAAGTGATACGGGTAGAGCTAGACAAGACACGGAGATTAATGCTCAGAGAGCGAATAGATCAGGGTCAGAAGTGGAGCAGTATCATGGTATTGCCATAGATAGACCACGTCGCACTATTAGGCCACTAATGAAGTATGGATTCGAGGATTCGGTTTCTTATACACTCGTTACCAGTAATAGCGATCCTATAAATTTTTCTAAATGTCATTGGTAGTCAGGAGAAAGGTAAATAGATAGATACTATAACGGAGGAAATAGAGACGCTGCATAAAAATGATGCTTAAGATTTGGTGGAGCTTCCAGAGGGGAAGAAATTAATAGGCTGTAAGTAGGTGTATAGAAAGAAAGAAGCAATATCAGAAAAGGAAGAAGAAAGATACAAAGCTCGGTTAGTAGCAAAGAGATACTCACAGAGGAAGGGAGTAGAATATGAGCTTGCTCGGTAAGGATTTTAATAATTGATTTTTTGATCTTTAGGGATAAAGTGGGTCCTACCGGTGAGAGAAGAATTCAAAAATGACGACGAAAATAGTAAAATAACGGTCAAAAAATTGATTTTAATTTGCTTTTAATCCAAAACAAACAAGCACTATGATGAAATTTTATCTTCGGTCGTCAAACTTCCATCAAGATTGTCTTGGCAATGGTGGCTAGTTTTGATTTGGAATTAGAACAGCTGAATGTGAAGACTACTTTCCTTCATGATGATTTGGATGAGCAAATTTTCATGGAGCAACCAGAGGGGTTCTTGGAACTTGGAACAGACAATCTTGTGTGTAAATTGAAGAAATCTTTATTTGGGTTTAAGCAGTCTCCTCGGCAATTGTGCAAGAAGTTCGAGTCTCATATGATTCAGATTGGCTACAATCACTGTGAGTATGATTGTTGTGTTTACTACAGAATTCTTGAGGATGATTCATATATTTTCTTAATGTTGTATGTGGATGACACACTAATTACTGTTAAGAACATAAATGAGGTAGACAGATTGAAATCTTTGTTAAGCAGTAAGTTTGATATGAAAGACTTGGGACCGGCTAACAAAATTCTTGGCATGGAGATCAACAGAAATATGAAGGCCAGAAAATTATGGGTGTCTCTAATAATTATTTGAAGAAAGTGTTGTAGAGGTTTAGCATGTCCGATGCAAAACCAGTTGGCGGCTACACCATTGGCAAATCACTTTAGATTGTCTAATAATCAGTGCCCAAAGAATGAAGAAGAGACTACAGAGATGTCAAAGGTGCTTTATGCCAACACAGTTGAATGTTTGATGTATGCAATGATGTGTATTAGACTAGATCTAGCACATGCAGTTAGTGTGGTGAGCAAGTATATGGCTAATCCAGGCAGAGAACATTGAAGAGCTGTAAAGTAGATTTTCAAGTACTTGAGACGTACAATGGAGTGTGGAGAAATCATGTTTGAGAGACAACATGATGATGTTTCAATTCGGGGATATGTAGATGCAGATTATGCAAGTGACTTGGATGACAAAAGGTCCCATGCAGGTTATGTTTTCACACTCGCGGGTGGACTTATATGTTGGAGATCAATAGTGCAATCACTTATGGCATTATCTACAACTGAAACAGAATACATGGCGGCAACTGAGGCAACCAAGGAATTATTGTGGTTGAAAGAGCTCGTCAGGGAACTTGGGATCAAGCAAGATGAAATGAAGTTTTATTGATAATCAGAGTGTCATCTTCTTAGTGAAGAATCAGATTTATCATGCAAGTACCAAGCACATTGATGTGAGATTTCACAAGATAAGGAAATTAATTATTTCAAGAGAACTGTTGTTAGAGAAAGTGCATACCTCAAAGAATGTAGCAAACATGATAACAAAGCTAATCACAATGAATAGGTTCAAGCATTGCTTGAACTTGATTAACATCTCTAGGAATTGGAGAGGATATATCCCAACCCATTAATCCTAGACAGTATGGTTTTCTAAGTTATGTTTTTTGTGTTTTCTCCTAAAGGGTGAATATTCGATAAGATGGAGATTGTTGTGTATGCGTCTCATATAGAGCAGAACACAAGTTTACTGGATCAAATAGGCTAATGCCGAAGTGAAGCGGAGTGAGGGGAATGTAGCGTACTGAACAGAACAGAGCGACGACATCAGCCTTGTGGGGTTTAATTCACTGTATGGCACTGGAGTATTTTCTTGTGCAAACCTTAAAGTCTTGTATGGGCTTGGGCTTGGGCTAAGATTAGTACAAATAATAATGTTGTAACCTTATTATTCATACTGAATAAAATTATCTCTGTTTTTCTCTCGTGGACGTAGACACATCGGCTAACCACATAAATACTTCTGTTGATTTTTCTATTTCATCTCTTTATTATTGTGCATAAAATCCAACACAGGTTGACTTGCTGATGACGTCCTAATTCAATTCAAGATTAGAGGTGAAATAATAAAATGCAAAGGATGCAACTCGTACACTCTTGAAAATAAATGGTATTCAAAGAACTGAGTAAGAAAAATATCTCTTTCAGGAGAGATGCATTGATGACTTACATGTTGCTGATCAATCCGTGCTTGACAAGTGGGTATCCTTCCTTTCAGCTTTTCAATCAATTTATTTTGCACTTCAAGTTTCTTGTCTGCATCATATACCCATGACCAAGCCAGTTTCTTCTTTAACAACTGCACCTGCTGCGATATTTCTTCCACAAATTCCATGTTTTTGATCTTTTCTTGCAGTTCATCAAGTTCCTTCAATATCGGTCTCAGTGACTTCTCCAGATTATTAACCAGTTCAGTTGCACCATTCAGTTGGTTTTGAATACCTTTTAATAGATCATCAACTTGTTGCAGAAGCGTTGCCTTGAAAAAGAACTGATAACATGGGGTCAGATGTTGGCCAAGATATATTATCAATACTACTTAGTTAACATTTACGTGATAATAAATATGCTAATGAAACAGTTAGTAGACAAGCTAATGTTTCATAAAATATATGACCGAGGACTGAAAAGAGGAGAAATAGAAGATATAAAGCAGAATCCTCCCAACTGGAAAGTTATATTCTTTTAGATATAACCACCTGAATTGAAAATCCAAACTGTTTACCTTGAACTTATCTTTTGCATTCCCCGAATGCAAAAATTCTCTGCTTTTGTCTTGACTCATTATCACGCATGGATTTTCAACATCAATCTGGAAAAAAAAAAGAAAAAGAACACCCATATGGCAAGGGTAGTGCAAATAAGCAATCAAACACTAGCGCGCGCACGCGCGTACACACACAAAAAATAAAATAAAATAAAAAAATCCTAGATAGGATGAATAAAAGCTTCTGTTTCATACTGTCAAACAAGAACAAAGCAAAGTATATTATCTTCTTGTTAAATGACCAACATCCGGCATAAAAAGAGATGAAGTCAATATCCACAATAGATAAGGATCAATCATCAGATTCTCTCTATGCCTTCAGTAGCCAGAACATATTCCCCAGGACAAAGTCACTATCAGATTGATTCATGGAAAAAGTAGTAGGAAGCATAAGCTCATACAGTTGGATGGAAAGATGGGGTACAACCAGTTATATGCCTGAAACTAGCGGGCCGAAGCTCCGATGCCTGAATAATTGGGAAGAAAGGAAGAGCTTTTTGCTGACTCATATTTCAAGAATACATGGTATCTCCATACCAAATTATACCACAATTAAGGAGAGGCAACATCTAATTCATAATTCCGTTCCCCTCTTTTTTTATTCAAGTACTTCGTTCCCTTCTCTTTTTGTTTAACTACACTTACATGGAACAACAATACGGAAAGGAGCATTACATCTCTTTGGCACCCCCCCCTTTCTTTCTCCTCCCACACTCCTCTACTCCCAGCAAGTGTCATGGCTCAAAGCCAATAGAAACTATTGGAGATGAAGACAAAATTGTACACCAAAAGTTTAGCTTTTGGTAGCTAATAACATGCTGAAATTAGCATCTATAATAAATGAGTAATTGCAACAAAATAATATCCCAATATCAAATACAAATGTGCTATATCTGTGAAATCTCAATAACAAGAATGAAAATATGTGAACAGGAGCTCGTCACAAAAAGATTGACACTGTTCATTGACAACATTAAATGTTAATGAGTAATGAGTCACATCACATTGGCAATTTGGGCTATGTTTGAACCCCGTTTTGTGTAAAAAATGAGTTTTTCAATAATGATTGTTTGTACAATGTCTGGTTAAAAAATAGAAAAAAAATTTGGATAGACATGCAAGTTATTTTACTGGGAGAATGTTTGGTTGAAAATGAGTTTGGGTAAAAAAAAAAAAAAAAATTAATAAGGGGCTCGAACAGGGGCTTGGTATCGTCTGCCTACAAATGTCCCAAATAAAATTTGCTTCCTATCAAGAAATCAATTAATTTTGTATTACTATCACATCGTACACACAAGAAAGACTAATTCAAATGAAGCAGTCATTGTTTTATCAAATGTGTCTATGGTCCATGTGAGTAAAATACAATTCAAATATCAATGTCATGCCCATGCTAAAGATATGGTGTTCCAAAATGAATGAAAATTATCGGCACCAAGGGAGTGACACTGGCATAACATAATGATTGCATTTGAAGTTTTTTCTTTTTTACGAATTCATGCAGAATTTATTCGGAATAAGCATTATCTTTGTGTTACTGGAATTGTATGAACTGATGGAGAAGAAAATCAAAAAAGACATAGGAATTAGTTAAAACTCACATTGAAATGTTCTATAACCTCACGAAGATCCTCTTTGCGACTGCCTACCTTCTTTCCTGGAAAGCGCGTTTGTTGGGAGGTAGCCAAACAGAAAGAAGAAATATTTCTTAACTCATAAATTAGAAACATAAAATGAAAAAAAGGAGTAAAGGACCAAGGTTATACAGAACAACCTAAAATGGTGCTTACCCAAAGGTATTTCTTTCATGTTTTGATACAGTCGGTTAACGAAAACTAATATGTATCTTACAAGCTGACATTTTTAACTTCCAGAAATATTATTGAAGTAGATTATTCAAAACGGACAATCCATCTCACAGTATTATTTTAAAATGCATAAAGATCACTATTAGATTTAAATACCGCTGCTTCATTTGCAGAGTTTAACATAGACAACAGTACCAGCCACCTCTTGGAATGATGACAACATATTTCACATAATTTTGCGTATTAGTGGGGGTGCATAAGATCTCAGTCTCCACAGGGATAAAGCACTAAATAGTCATAGATGTCAAATCAGAGAAGGAACTGAGTGAATAGAACCTTGCCAATTTTTTAATGTGATGGAACTGGTTGACTCCGAAATTCTACGTTCTACAATCATGGCATCTCCATATGTCTCTGGCTTGAACGCATCTTCCCCTTGATTTTTTATCTCGACTTGAACAAGAGCAGAGCTATAAACAGAAAGAAAGGATGAGGCTAATCAGATATGTAGGGAATTGCATGATTAATCACATAGTTGTGCAAAAAGATCATAAGTATGGCAGAAACAGCAATTGAACAAAATGAAAGTCAGCAAACAACAGTTGATTTCATGGGAATGTAACTAAGTAAATAGGTCATTTCAAGTGAACTCCTAAATAGACAATATGGGGTGCTAGTGAATGCATGATACACCTTCTCAAAGCTGGTTTAACACACCACAATCTATCTTTAACAACAACAGTTTCTAGTTCTCTCTGACCAACATTCTTTAGCTGAAGCTAAAATATAAAATTGCAATAGATAATCATCTATAAATGGACAATCAACTTCAGATTGAAATGACAGTGTGCACTTGAAACTGTTAATGCATAAAATTTATAAACTACATCGACAGAATGAAATAATAATACTAGTCTTCTAGGATAAGGAAAAATGCCAAACCTCTCATTTAAGTTTAGGTAAGGTGCCTAAAAACTTACCTTACTTAAATGGTGTTTACTCCACAGAAAAAATAACTAGTCTCTCATCTGGTATAACCTTGAGCAAATGATTGAAACACTCCAGACCCAAAAGCAAGTTCAGAAGATAAAATTACCTACTCCCTTGTTTCCATATCAAGTTTTGTTTGACTTACCACGTTCAGAGCATTATTTTGTAGTTGTTTAATACGTTTGGAGAACAAGTTGACATTGCCAAATCTTCACACAATATAAACTGGGGGTAAAACACAAATTTTCTAGATAATGTAAATTAAATAAAAATTATGAAAAATAGCTGAATATTAACATCATTTTGCCAAGAGAACCAACAACAAAATTCTCTTTGAGCCTAGATTAAAATGGTACAATATCTAAACCCTTCTTTAGCCACTGCAACCGTGGCATCAAAGAATTTCTTTTCAAATCTTCTGATAAATATATTAAAATGTTCAAATTCTAACTCCACGTCCGTCATTTATTAGAAATCAAATCACATCAGCTTAAAGGCAAGGTTTATTATGCTTGTGCAGGGCCACGTATAGGGGGGCGCCAAGTGAACCAGGCCTACGTGGCCCTGTTCAAGTAGGGTGGTCCGGAAGGATCTCAGGCAAAACAGAAACTTCAAAACTGTTGACCAATTTAAAAAATAATTAATTAATTAATTAATTAATAATAATAATCGAGAAACATAAATATACGTATAAATAGACCTGCAGCCTACTACAAAAAATTCATATCATCAGCAGTAAAGGGCAATACTCTTCAGGCAGGACAAAAACTTTAAAACCTTAGACCTATGTACGAAAAGAAAGCTACAAACTTATAGAACTTCTAAAATAGTATGTTTGGCTTAGCTTAAAAGCCAACAGCCAAGTAGGCAGTACAATGCCTCATACTGCTGAAAGAAGCCAGTTTTTCGTTTTTCTCCACTTTTTAGCATTTAAGGTAAGCTAAAAGCCTAATCGGCAGTACAATGCCCTTACTGCTTCTAGCATTTAAGGTAAGCCAAACATGCTCTAAAATTAAAAAATACATAAATAAATAATACATATATATAAACCTGCAGCCCGTCTTTATAAAATCCCTCATTGAATTGGCTCTCTGAGTGCCACGAGCTCGGCTCCCAAACGCCACGCATAATGCCGTCAGTATAGCACTCTTCCCACCTGATCATATACACACAAAACAGTCCCAAAAATATAGAAATCAACAAACCCGATATTTAAGCACAAGCAGAAAGTACGACATGCGTGTAATTGAGAGAGAAAAAGCTCACTTCCATTTTGACCGGTGATAAAATTGACCCAATCGCCAAACTCAATTTCGAGGTTGCTGTGACACATGAAGTTTTCTAGTCGGATTCTGGAGATGATACCGGCTTGCAGTCGGGTTGGGCGATTCCTCGGGTTGCTGCAAGCCCTAGAATCCGCCATCGGATTGCACACTGTACGCTTTTGGGCGGAATGGCGGGAAGATGGAGCCGCTTGTGAGAGTAGTTTGGCTTTTAATCTAGCATTTTTATTGCCCGTGGCCAAGCATTTTTCTCTTTCTTTTGAAGTACACGTTATTCTTCAATAAAAAAAGATATATGTTATATGTAAATTCAAAACTTTTCTGATTTCTAATCGCACATTCCCTAAAATACCAAAACCTTATTTGACCCCACTGAATTAAAATTTATTTTTTCTCTTCTTCCTAACCACACATTCTCTAATAAAATAATATTAAAATTAAAAAAATTTCCTTCATTTTTAACCATACATTATTCAAAAAATTATTACCCCTTTCATTATAAATCAAAATAATGGGGCTCTATCGGGGGCTAATATTCAAAAATATATTTTAACCAAAATACATTTTTAATGGAGCCCATACAAGGGCTAAGATGTCTTTTTATGCCTTTAAGGACCACGAGTCTCGATATATCAATTATAAGCATAATGATGGCTGAACAGGGTTAAAAACAGGAAAAGTGTGGACATACTGAGTTGGCAGCATTTGATTAGACACTTTTAAAAAAAAATAAAATTCAATGTGTTCATTTATGCTTCAACAGGTGTTTCTCTTGTTTTTAACCAGTATTTCACCCTATTTTTGTAGCATTTCCCCTTTTTTATAATATCGTTTTAAGTATTTATAGGTGGATAGATTTTGGGTGATTTTAGTAGAGATTTTTAAAATTGTCCAACCTATTCTTAGGTGTTTATTATTCATCGATTATGGGGGTGTTTGAGCCATATTATTTTGGTAATAATACATTCTTGAATAGTATATTGATGAAAAATGTGTGGTTAAAAATATGAAAAAGTTTTTGATTTACGTGTAATATTATTTTATTGAAAAATGTGTAGTTAAAATGATGTCAAATCACTGTTTAAGAATACTTTTTTTGAAATAATGTGGCTCAAATAGGCCCTATAAAAGTTTGTTAAAATAGTAAAATTACATATATAGCCCTTAATAAAAAATTTAGTTTATAGTTTCTTATATGAAATTTCTTTTACTTGTAAATGATATTTTATTTGTAGATGATTTTTCTTACATATAAGTTAATATTTAACTTAGAAAATTAAATAAAGTTGAATATTTACGTATAATTTTATAATTTAAGTTAATATTTTTTGCATATAAGCTAATTTTATACTTTTATATAATTTTAAGTGAATTTTTTACTTATAAATAACTTTTTGTATTTTATAAGTATTTTTGTCTTATTAGTAGTATTTTTATTTTATAAATTTTTTTTTATATAAAAGTGATTTTTTACTAATAAGAACCTTTTTAATTATAATTTACTTTTTCTTATCTTATAAATAATATTCTACTTATAATATTTTTATAATAATGTAATTATTAATTATTAAGTAATTTTTTAGTTAATATATTTGTATTTGCAATTTAGTTTTATAGAAAATATGTTGGTCGGAAATAATTATTTTTAGAATGTATAATTAGAAGTGAACATGAGAACCTGGAAATAATTATTTTATTTGATGTAACTTTTAAACCATTTAAAATTGATGTCCAAAAAGAGTAGCGAGCACCAATTTTCAACCCCAATAAACGGTGCTACTCAAAATTGATCAAAATTGATGCCCAAAAAAAAAAAAACACACACACACACTCTCAAGCAAGCCCCAAGTACAGCGTAGCCTTGGTATCATGGACCATGGCATTGGAATATATAGCTGAATTGAACCATCTAGACTTGAACTGCTTGAGCTGAGCTTGATCGATATGGGCCATTGTATAGCCTATTTAGACCAATTACCCACAAATCTATTTTAACGTTTTTTTAAGAAGGAAAAAATTACACTTGATACGTGATTTTAAATTAAAATTGTAATTTATAAACAGTATTTTATTCATAATAGAAAGCATCTTTAATTGTAGGAAGTTTTTGAGCATCGTTTTATTGTGAAAAATGAGCTTTGAAATAGTGAATTTTTTGAGAATGAATGGTTAAAAAAAAGTTTTAAGTTTACGTACAAAAATTATTTTATTGAAAATAAATTTGGACAAAAATTAGTTTATAAAAAAAATGTGCTCAAATAGGGACAAAATTTACTGATTTCTTCTTATATTTTAATCAATGACAAGTCAAATATGGTTTGAATAATTCGAGAAGTGGAATATTGAAGTCCTTAGCTTATTAAGGGTTTGTTTGAGGCCAATTTTTAGAAGAATTGATTTTATAAAAGTGAATTTTTTAGAGAATGTGAGGTTAAAAAATAGGATTTTTTTTTAAATTACGTGTAAAATTATTTTATTGGAATAATGTGTCATAAAAAATAAATTTGAGAAAGAATAAGTTTTTAAATAATGGAACAAGGTTAAATGAAATGTTAAAAGTTAAAAATAGATAGTCAAACTCACTCTTTATTTTTAAAAATTAAAATTATGAGTCTTTTAAAACTTAGGGTGTGTTTGATAGGGGCCAATTCCATGAAAAATGGAATTCAAATTCCATTTTCCACACAAATTATAGTGTTTGATAGCACATTTTTTTCCATTAAATTTTATTTTCTTGATTGTCTTGGAAATTGTTTTTTTCTTGGTTTTTCTTGGAATTCAAAAAAATATATGGTGGGAATTGGTTTTCAAAGAAAACCAAGAAAAAAACAATTTCCAAAACAATCGAGAAAATAAAATTAAATAGAAAAAGTGTGCTATCAAACACTACAATTTGGGTGGAATTGGTTTTCCAACCTACTTTACCTTCTTTTTATTTATCTTTTTGGTAATGGAAACAAATTCTAAAAATTATTGTAAAAGAAATATTTTCCTTCAATTGACAATTTTCATGTAAAATAAAGTCAAACGAACACCAAAAGATAGATGATTTTCTTGAATTTTTTTTGTTGGTAATGGAAACAAATTTCATTCCCAATACCAGTAAAATCTATTCCTTTAATTGATAATTTTTATGTAAAATAAAATCAAACGAACACTAAAAACACTTTTATTTCAACATTTTGCACTTGAAAAATTATACCAATCAAATTCAATAAATTGACAATTCCCAGGAAAATAATTCAATTCCCTTGAATTCGTTTTCTTTCCACCCAAATTTCATCTTTGTAATCAAACGGACCCTTACTTTTAAGTATTGACTCTTTAAATTATAGAAGGAATGGAAACCTCCATTTGTTTGCCCTCAATCTTTGGAAAAAGCTTATTACCATCAATCATATATAGATTGATTGACTTGTGGCTATACCCAATCTTAAATCGTGAAGTATCATGATAGTAGTTTTAGCTGAAATGTTGAATAGTCTTTTTGAATTTTCTAAACATGGAAGACATTGCTTTCAATTGTAGCCCTTTACTCTTGAGCATGGCAAATAGACCGAAACTCTAAATTTGTCCTCACCCTTGACTCGCGATGTCTTCCACCTAGAAGTGGAGCATTTAAGAAACTATCCATTTACCTAATCCTCTTTTTCTTTCGCGCTTGTCTAGTTAATAATATGATTTCTGGAATTCACTGACAATGGGAAAGTCTCTTCATGAGATTTGTAGTTGCATTACTTATAGTTTCCTCATTGATTTTGGAGGAGTACATGTCTATGGAATTTTCTCAATATCTTATTTTATAGATGGACTGTTCATCGGAGATCTTGCGCATATAACTAGAACATAAATTAGCCTTGGACTAACAATTAAATCCCTTTCGGATTTATCAAAAAAAACCAACTGTATTCAGTGTAAGTATTATATCCTAGGTCCAATCAACTTTGGACATAAATACTTTTAATATAATATTAATACAGTTTAATGGTAGATCTATTATTTAATTAATAGACAATTAAATAAATAATAGAATCCGTAGATTCAAATCTTCGTAATTTGTTAATCACAAGGAGTTGTAATTGTGAAATACAAATTACATCTGATTGAATCTTAAATCGTTCGTGGTCGTAAGTAATAACGAGATACGGATATCTTATTATAGATAGATCATCACGTGTGGCATTTCTTACTCATGAAGTAAGTAGTTGATCTCAGAAGCTAAAGTGTGGTGACACTTAAATGAACACGCGAATGTTTTGTTATAGAACAAATTATTGGAGACCCGTATAGAGATTCCATATGGATGACTATCTGAGTGTTAGTGGTTAATCTCTAACGTTTGGTAGTGGAATTGGTCATTTGACTTGAGGTTGTCATGGTACCTTATATGAGGACAGTCATATTTTGGCGGTGTTGGATGTTGCTCTGCAAAGGGCCACTAATACGACATCGTTCGGGCACGTCAAAAATCGTATGAATGTTGTGATTGAACAATAAAGGATTCGTCACTCTTAAATAGTAGGAGATTATGATCTGTGTTTCATTCAATTAAGTCGATGATAAAATCCTTGACCAAGGTATACTCATAAGTCGAAAAGGAGTTTTCGATTTATATTGACTTAATAGTGGAGTGAAAGATATGATCGAAATTCGGGATTGACACAATTTCATATCTCGTAATTAATCGGATAATATTGACGAAGGGATTATAGTTTCACGGTAAACGAACTAATTTGGTTTTGTCATACCATATGACATTCTCCGTCACATGTATTGCCCTGACACATTGTTAGATGTCAATTTGGGACGGCGAGTGTGAATTGGTGATAAATTAAAATGGTGTTTTAATTTATCACTTTTGATTAGATCAAAATAATATTTTACGTCATTAGATATCGTGATCGGGAACTTGGTGGGTCACACGCAAAAGAGAATTGAAAGATTGCAATTTGTCAATTAATTAATTTAACAATCGTTGGATAAATTAATTAATTTGGTTGGTTCTTTATAGGCCCGAATTAATTAATTGGATTAATTAATTCACAAACTGAATTTAATTAAATGGATTAATTAAATATTGGACCGGACCAGGCCCGTTTGGGCTTATATAAATACATGGCTAGGGTTTTCAATCCATATGTTTTTCTCATAATTATTCTTGCTAGCACAAGTGGAGAGAACTTTGATAGCTGCAATCTTGTTATCTTGTGTGGCGTTGAAGGCTGGACAATTGGACAATTGTGGGTAGT